AACAGATTGCAAAAAAGGAAACAAGCTATCTGAAAAAAAAAAATCAAAATAAAGGGATTTTAGAGAAAAATAAAAGAAAAGCTATTAGAAAAAAAGCAGTGGGTATCTCTGAGAAAAAAATGAAATGAGTAGTTCTCACCTCAGAATATAGATTTGCCCAGGCTTGTAAGAAATTATTCACATTCCAAGATCTGACAACTATTTATGTTCTCATATGCCCACAGTAGTTTAACTGCTTAGCAAGATCAAAACCAGAATATGTGTAATGGATTAATCATTCAAAGCTACTCATTTACTCATTTGAGAGGAGACTATACCAGAGAGAGACACAAATTATTTTGGCTATATTAAAAAAAAAAAAAAAAAAGTCATGCATTAGAAATAGGAATAGGAATAGAAATAGAAAAGGAAACAGAGAAAGGAATCTCAATTTTGGGAATTGTTCTTGATAGGGATTTAAAAACTATAAAGCATCTTCACTGTAGAATCAGTGGCAGTGTAACCACCCAGGAAACTGAAACAGGAGGGGAGAAGATCCAAGGAGCACAGGGAGGGACAGCCTGACCTAAAGGGTCTTTTCTATCTAGTGCACCAGAACTGCTCTTAATAAACTTGCCAGCTTCTTAAAAGCAAAGCATGAGCTGAATCAACTTCAAAATGTACCAATAATAGGGATGAAAATTGCTGAAACCCCATTTCAAGGTGATGTGAGTAGGATTGTCAAAACAGGATGAATGCTGGCAGCCAGGTCCATGGACTGAAATACAGCCTATGAAATGAGTGCTGGTCTGCACAGCAGTGCCATTTATCTCTCATCTTGATTTGGACATCTTTGAACATGTTCAATACAAAAATAAATGCACTGTTCAGTGTTTTCCAAAACCTACCATTTAAATCCATTCAGATATGGAGACTACCTAAAGAGGAGAAAAAAACCCCCAGTTATACTTCAATTTCCTCCACAAAACTTCTGTTGCCTTTGCTGACAGAGGGAGAAATATGGTTTCTGTTCATCCTGTAATTCCAGGTTTTATCTGAATAGAAACCAAAGACTAAGAGGACAATTCTGGTCCTACTAAATGTACCTGTCTGCTTTACTATCAATTGAACTTGTCTCTCTAAATATTTTACAAGACATAACTTTTTTCTTTCATTTCTCTTCATCTTTCTCTTTACTTCATTATTTTTCTACTGGGAAAAAATGCCAGATTGGTTAGAAGTCATTACTTTCCCTGTGGGTCACCTCTAAGCTTTTTTTTTATCATGTACTTTTTCCTTATTCTGACAGAATATGAGACATTATCAGATATGCCCTCTGCTTATTGAGCTCTGCCTGGAACTGTAATTGTAATATACATGAGCTAGTACTTCATGCTTACATTGTGCCTCACATTCAAAGATCTTGTAGTAATTCAGAACAAGGTATAAAGTATTAATGACCTGTATAAAAGGAGGGGAAATATAAAATGAAAGGAAGAGTGGAAAAGGAAGTAAATTTGCAACCATATTTTATTTTCATTCTTCAGAAAGGAGACAGTATTTCATTTCAGTGGAAACAAAAATAAAAAAAGTATGGTTTTGTTTTGAATGAAAAAGAAAATTTTAAACTTGAAGGACTTACAAAAAAATTAATTTTGAGACATTACCTGTTTGAAAGCATGCAACCATCTGCATTTATATATATCATCTAATTGATTCACAAAAAAACATTGTAATTGTCAGTTTACAGAGATTTTGAAAACTTAATGTATTCAAGAATGCATTAAGCCACACATAAAATTTGAGGAAAAGGTCAAAGAAAGAATGTAGGATCCTGAATACAAAAATCAGTCTTCATCCACACTACATGCAGGCTGACACACACATTGTTTGCTGCCAAGAGGTAATTCTACTCTAGAGCAAAACTTGGAAACAGGCTCTTGGAATTTGCTACTTACAGACCATTACCTGGTATCTCCTTTGGAAAAAAAGGTACTTAAATATCTCCTTTAAATGAAAAATAAAGCAGAAGTTTTGACTTATTAATGTAAAACTCTTAAAATGTCTCTGGAAGTTCTTAAATAGAAAGAATACTACATTTACAAAGTATTGTAATGGTTTCATTACAGTCTACATACAATATTCTTGGCATTGATAACAGTCCATCAAAATTTTTGTCACCATGTAGTAGTTTCCCTTGATTTGGACTTGAAATCTACGGTGGACATTGCAAATATTTTCCAATGCAAAAGCATATTGATTTCTAGAGCCACCAATTGTTTAACTGTGGCTTTTTTTACAAACTGTTACCACAGAGATGAAAATGTTTAGTACCACACAGGTATTATTGAAGTGATTTTGACAGTATTTCACACCTCATTTGCTGCCAAAGTTATTAGATTTTAGTCAATGATCAAAGAGTCAATTGACTCTAAAGGGCTCCTTTAAAGCACTGAGGCATGAAATTAGAACAATGTAGAAATTATCTTGATCTCTACTTCATCTTGTGATCAAAGTAGAGATGCCCATCTCTTTTACCTACCTCCTTATTTATTTAAAAGGAAACACTTAAGGTTAATATAAGCCTTGAAATGGTGCCATTTTTATGTGACTTCTGACAGTGGAATTATTCGGAGAGGTAACTTCGACAAAGTAACTATTTTGAGTGCAGATTGGCTGTTTTAACTTCCAGTGACAAAAACCACAGCCAATCTGGAATGAAGGCTGATTAGCAAAAAATGCATTTCCCAGATGAAATAATCAAAACTCATAGAACTTGCAAAACCAGTGAAAACAGAGCTCAAGGAGACACATCCTGTTGATTATCCTGTTAACTCCATGATCTGATGTACACACGATATATCCTGTTAGCTCTTTTATACCTGTGAAAAAATACTGTTGTGTTTTCATAGCTCATAATGCTACAATTTAAATTCTGCTTCTAGGCAAAGTACTTTCAAGATATTTACATCATCTGGACCACCACTAAACTCTGTCCCTAAACACCACGTCTGCATGTTATTTGAAGTCTTCCAGAGATGGCAATTCCACCACTTCTCTAGGCAGCCTTTTCCAATCCTTGACAACCTTTTCAGTGAAAAACTTTTCCTGATATCCAACCTAAACCTCCCCTGGTGCACCGGGAGGCCATTTCCTCTCATCCTGTAATTTGTTACCAGGGCAAAGAGAATGACACAGCTGGCTGCACCTTTTTGTCAGGGAGATATGGAGAGTGAGAAGGTTCTCCCTGAGCCTCTTTTTCTCCAGATTGAGCCACCACCCCTGCTCCCTCAGCTGCTCCTCATCAGACCCTTCCCCAGCTCTGTTGCTGTTCTCTGGACACCTCAAAGTCTTTCTGGTGGTGAGGAACCCAAAACTGAACCCAGGATTTGGGATGTGGCCTCACCAGTGCTGAGTCAGGGGGACAATCACTGTCCTGACCCTGCTGACCACAGTATTGCTGACAGAGGATGGAGATGAAAGTGTCACAGCTCTTTGCTACCTGATCCTTTCCTGGAAGATTCACTGTTTTATTCATGGTGAGGACCTACAGCTGCATCAGCCTGGCTCCCACAAATCAAGCAAGACATGTTTGTTTAAGATCTACACAATTAAGCCTCCAGTTTTCTTGCCTGTCTCCCTGTAGATATTTTATATTTCCTGGAGGAATTCCTACACCTCAGGGCACTTTTTGTCAGCAGTGACAAACTCCTGACTCAAGTCACTTATACTCTGGGAAGTTGTCTCAACATCCAACCTGGTTCCATTAATTTGTGTTACCTAAAAAAAGATATTTTAAGGGGCTAAAAACAGTCAGGGTACCCCATTTATCTTCTTTGTAACACTGATTTGGCATTTGAGGACACTCTTGTTCACATACAATCCCAAGCCACTTTCTAGGAAACAGATTTCCATGCCTGATGGTTTACTGATGGCAAAGTGTCCTTGATTTATTCCATAAAAATTTTCCAGCTGAACTATTAGTTCTCTTCCTTGGAGCCAAGAAACCATTGAAAAAGCATGGGTTTTATTGTGAAAAAAAAATCCAAAATAAATCCTTTTTTTTACTCCTACAGAGTTACAGGAAGTTCTTCAGTTAAATCAATTGCCAATAATTAGAGTACTACTTCTAGCTGTGCCTAAGTCCTATTTGATTGGGACTATTGTGTTAGGGCTTCTCCTGCCATGAACTGTATTTCATTGCATCTGAATTATTCTGAGCAATCCTCTAATCCCCTCACTTTCCTTCAATTCAGAGATGAATCTTTGCTTTCCCCTACTGTATTATCAAAACCCCCTCTCCAGACTAATGCACTAGCAAAAGTCATTTTTCATTGAATGTTAGGCCTGACAAAGAATTATTATTCTAATGTAATGGGGAGATTAGCTCATTTTCACTCTCCTTCTGCCTTCCCATTCATCACTCTCCTGCTGTTGGGACTTCCAAAATGATTTATTTAGGCAGAAAACTTAAGTATTGTGGAGGATAGCTGAAAATACACAAATGGCACAGGAAATGCTGATCCTTTCCACTCCACTCCACTAAATGTGACTCATGAGTGTGTCTCTTCCTTTTAATTTCTGTAAACTGGGAACCTTAGGGAAGTCTGTCTTCTTATTCCTTCTCATCTTTACTAGTAGCATTCACATAATACATAAAAATAGGTCTTCTTTTCTCTATCAGGTCAATCAAACCCATCTTTTTATTGCCCTTTGCTGTTAGAATCAGCCTGAATTTCTGATAACTCACTCTATTCTAATTACATTCCAGTTTCTTTAATGCTATCACAGGGCTCAAAATATGGGCCTGTTTATCCCACACATCATCTGGACAACAATGCCATGAAGACATTAAAAATATGAGTTTAACTAATGCATTTATGATGACTTAGAATGGTTCACAGAGTTTCCATTGTTGTATTTAATTGTCCTGGTCAGTGGTATTATGGGATTCTCAGCTGATGAGGAGCTCAGGATTAGAAGCTTTTTCTTGAAGTCACATGGGAAAGAAGTCATTCAGAATGATCCAAAGGGATCAGGATGCCATCCATGAAGATCTGAACAAGCTGGAGAAATGGGCTCACGGGAATCTCATGAGGTTTAACCGGTCAAGTGCTGGTTCAGTACGTGGGTCAGGGCAACTGCTGGTGTCAGTTCAGGATGAGGGGATTGTTGCCTGATATCAAGGGGAAAAAGTCTTGCTACAGTATTAATAAATACAATAAATAAAAAATAAATACAGTAAAATAAAAAGCAGACCTTTATTTGGAAGCTTCTGGATGTCCCAGTGGTCATGGGCACCTCCAGCACTGGATTTCTACAATTTTATAAGTTAAAAAATTAGCATATTTTACAGCTATTGTCTAATTAGAAGAGCAGTTGGTTAGGTAATTTTTCCCAGGGTACTTCCCAGTTGGAGTCATTCCAGGGCATATTTGCCCCATTTTGTTGTTATGTCTTCTCAGATTCTGATTGGAAAACAAAATGTACTCCTTCTAGGTTCTCTTCTTGGAAACAAGACTAAGCAGTATTTCATCAATGTATTAGAAGGTTAACTTATTGTTCTAAAATCTAAGAGAAAGGATAGGAAAAATATTAGGAGCTACATAATTATGTAATAGTATTCTCTGAGCCATGAGTATATGCAAAATACATAAAAAACAAAACTCTTTAGGCATCAGGATGAGCAGATCAAGAGCAGCCTTGGGGAGAAGGACTTGGTGGTGCTGGAGGATGAGAGGCTGGACATGAACTGCCAATGTGCACTCAGAGTCCAGAAACCCGCTGTGTCCTGAGCTGAGTAAAAAGCCTGGAGTGGCAGGACAAGGCAAAATGGCTTAAAACTGGGAGAGACTAGGTTTCTATTAGGAAGAAATTATTTTCTGTGAGGGTGGTGAGGCCCTGGCACAGGTTATCCAGAGAAGCTGTGGCTACCCCATCCCTGGAAATGTTCAAGGCCAGTCTGGAAGAATTCTGAGCAAATTGCTCTAGTGAAAGGTGTCCCTGACCATGGCAGGGGGTTGGAATTGGAGGATATTTAAGGTCCCTTCCAACCCGAATTTTTCTATGGGTTTATGATGGAGGAGTGTAACGGGGGAAAAAAAGAGGAAAGATTGATGTAAAATTACCTAAATGCACAAAACAGACAATGAGAAGAGGACATGAATCCAAGCATGAGAAGATTAAGGCAGGCAGAACATCAAAGATTTTGGGAGGTTGAAATTAAATCAGAAAGGAAGCCCAAAAATATGTTAAGATTCAGTGCTATTTGATCAATGAACAAGATGGAAATTGTCAGCAGTTGTTCCAAAACAGCTTATTTGAGGAAGGAAGACTGGCAAAAATCTAGCAAATCTTTCATAAAATAAATGGATTTTAAAATTTTGTCATGTGCAGAAAAGGAGCACAGTTTATGTACAGATCAAGAAATTTATTTTTTATTACGTCCATTTATAATCTAAATTAAGTATTATTCCTCTAATTAATATATTTTATTTGTTTACAACATAAATGTCTGTCTCTGGGCTGTTAGGTTGTCCAGTCCTGCTCTTGGGGGCAGGTTCTGTGCTACTTAGGTTTCAACTGACCAAGCGTAGATGTCTCTGTAAGGTGACACAAATCATATCCTAAACTGCATTTACTCTATTAATTAGACTCTTACTAACTGCAAAGGAAGTCCACAGTGACCTGTTCAAGTCTGTGCTATCAACGCCTTCATTGAACCAGGTAAATCCTAACCCTGAAGTAAGAGCTGAATCCCACTTGGTCTTGTACTATAGTTGTTTCATCATCATCTTGAGAATTTCTGATTTTTTTACCTCACACAGTAGTTGAGCCACCTTTACCCTCACAAACTTTCTCACATCCTCATGTTTTGGAATAGGATGTAAAGCTCATTTTTCTGCTACTCAAGTTCTTCATATTTTCTTCCGAAAGTGCCATCTGCCCTACCTCCTGTTCCAGTGGTTTAGGTGCAGTGTTGTCATCTTTCATTAAGGTGTTTATGTAGGAGAGGAAAAGGTATTCATGAATTAATTGTGAGGAAGAGACTCCTCTAGAACAACTCCCTACTGCTATTTTTCAGTTTTGCTCTCCATGACTAACTCTGGTGACCTCCTCATCACAACCTGCACTAGGTGGAAGATCCTGACACAAGAATCCATAATAAATGTTATAAACTGTATATTTTTCTTCTTGAGGCACAGACTGTCTTGGAAGCCTTTTAAAAAGACTGACTAGATAAATCCAGATCAATGTAGTGTAAATCCAAAGTTGTTCATATTTTGAGAAGGTCTTAATCTAGTTCACCTCCAGATGTTCTTTTCAACTTAACTAGAACAAGGAACGGAAATTCTATATCTCTAAGATAGGGAGGGGAAAAGGAGAAAACCCTACAGATTAGGGTTATAACTTACAGAATTTGGTCATCTAAGAATTACAGAGAAATTCATCACGAGCAGAAAGGTACCTTTGTTGTGGTGCAGGGTTCATTTGGTTTCCACAGTGCCCTGACACCAGGGGCAGCGTCACTGGACCAACTTTACACTTCAATGTTGATGAGCTTGACTTCAGGGACATCTCCTTTGGCTTTCCCTACACCCAACGCTGTCGCCTCACTAACAACTCCATGATGCCCGTGACGTTCAAGCTCCGCATATCAGACGATGGCACGCAGCCGGCTGTTGACAGCATTGATCAAATACGCCGCGACGGTGACCCATCCTGGAGGAAGGGAATTCATTTTTATATGGAGCCAAGGGAGCTTACAATGAATCCCAGACAAGGGACCATCCTTCCCCAGGGACACCAGGATATCGAGGTGACCCTGTGTTCCAACACTGTGATGGAATTCTACAGGAAAATGCTGGTGGACCTGGAGGGTATTGGCACAGAAGTCGCATCACTGGTCATCACAGCCAGATGTCTCATTCCTGACCTGCAAGTGTACCCTGAAATCCTGTTCTACGATGAGTGCCACCTGAAGGTGCCATACGAGAGGAAGTTCCTTGTTGCAAATAGCACCCATCTTCCTGGCTGCTACGGGCTTATTCCTCAGAAACGCAAGGAGAACTCTCCCGTGTTCTACTCCAGCCCCAAACCCTGTGGGATTGTCCAGCCTCACAGCTTTGCAGAGATCCCAGTTATAATCGAAGTCCAAACACTGGGCAAGCATCGCACCAACGTTCTTATCGGCGTGTTCGGGGATGAGAGAAACCCACGGAGAGCAGAATTACGGAGCTCTGAACAGCCGGCAGAAATCTACCCAAGTCCAAGGCTGATAGAGTTTGGCACGATCCCAGTACTACGGCCTACTTCACGAAGCTTTGTCTTCTTCAACGAGGGTCTCGTCCCTACAGAATTCAGAATAGAGATGGCTCGCAGACCCCACTGCGTTGTTACTGAACCCAGAGAAGGAGTGATCCCTGCTGGGGGTGAGGTGTCTGTGACTGTCACAGCAACGCTGGATGACACTGGGCTTTTTTCTGACACTGTCCAGCTGTTCACTGGGAACAGCCTTCGGACCGTCTGCGGGCTGGTGGCTTTGGGCACTGGCACCACAATTGTCATAGACAAGCCATTCGCCCCGGAGCTCAACTTGGGATACCAATTCAGGTAGGAGATCTCTCCACTCCCACCTCTCCTGCTGTCTCAACAAGGAGCAGTTTTGCTGTAGTCCTTCAGGCAAGGTCTTCTTCAGTGTCCAAAGCCCTGACTCCTTCTCTGAAGGCAGAGATTCCTTTGGAAACATGTGATGGGCAGTTGAGAGTTGTTAGACACCCTCAAAAGCCACTGACAGGAAAACCAGTTGCTAAATTGCCACTGAATTGTCTTTAGTTCTAATATATTGATGTCCTCACTTGACCAAGTGGCTGCCCTGGAACAAAAGGTTCCCGAAATGGCGCCCAGATGAGGTGGTCCTTCCGTGTGGCTGAGAGTACCTTATACCTCAGCAAGAACTATTTTGGGATCCACACATTGGCTTCTGCATTCAGTATTAGTCTAACATCAGTTTTCTTCCAAAGATCTCTCCATCACCACCATCAGAGTGCAGACAACCATCCCAAATATTTTCCGTTGAGCAAGAGGAGAGGATTTTTTTAAGATATTCCAGTATCCAGAATAATCATTAAGAGGAGAATATCTCTTGAATATTTGCAGCTTGCAAGAAGTTAGCATAAACAGGGCATTCAGCACAGAATGAGGATGAATGAGCTGTTGCTTACACACTTTTTTCTTCTGCTAAGTGAGACACCAACACAGAACCAAGGTTAACTCCTGTGTTCACTAGATGGTGCTCCAACATTCAGATCCAGTGTTCCTGGATCTTCCCAGGACACTGAATTCTCTTGTTCTCCAGGCTGTCTCTGTCATTGTTTGTAATCACAAAGTTCCCATGGGCTGGACATGCTCATTCTTTACAAGCAGTACCCATTGTATGACAAAGGAGTCTTCTGCAAAGGAGTCAATTTCTCTCAGTTCATCCTGTTTAGTTGAGCATACTCATGGTAAAATGTGGTCTTTTAATGCAAGGTTTTGGTTCATCTTCTAAAACAGTAAGACATAAACATGCAGATGAGTGTCTCATCTGAGCATCAAAGAGTTGCATACTTCTGGTACTTCAGTAAAGTGATATTTGTCTCCATGTGTGTGTGTGGTTTTCCTGTTGAAAGTGCCTGTAATAGTGTAAAAATATGTCACAACCTACCAGAGAGACATTATTATAGCATGACATAAAAAGTACATGGTGCTTGCCTTAGAGCTGGGCAAGAAGGGATCTGGTGGGTATTTGGGAGACCTGCAAATTTTTTTATTAGTTTTGGAGGATTTTACAGGTGTGTAGGAGTTACAACTGGTGAAAGCTTTACTATAGTGCCTATTATAAAGGGTCCCTAGAGCTGCCTATTCGCACAACCAGTGTAGACTCTTTTTCTGGGGGCAAATAATTTGTCTACTGCAAAAATAACCAGGGAGTGAACTCACATACAGGCTGTGGTATAACTGGTGAGGGGACGAAGACCTGAGTGGGAAGAAAACATGAATTTATATTCAGACTTTTGAAGCATGTTCATCAGAAAATTTGGGTCTCCCCTCACATGCAAAAAAGATGCTAATGATGTGGTACCAAAGGTGGGGCCCCCAAGATGCAGGCTGAAGGATTAAAGGATATTAAAGGACAGAGGTGGCAGAATCAGGGCTTGCCTGAAGAAAGAGGATTACGTCTGAGCCTTCATCTATTTACCCACACACCTTATAAAAATAAATTGTTAAATGCTGTAAATGGCATGTTCAACACAGAATAGCTTTATTTTAGTTGTGACTAACCTAAGATAGGAAATACCAGGTCAGAGCTTCATCATCATCTTGTTCTACAAAGAGTGCAACATTAGTTCTGCTGGATTTAGAATCATGGAACTGTTCATGTTGGAAAGGACATTAAAAATCATCAAGTCAGACAGTTCACCCCGCAGTGACACGTTCAACACATCCACATGTTCTTTGAACACTTTCAAGGATGGTGAGTCCATCACTTCCCGGGTAAGCTTGCTCCAATGCCTGACAACCATTTCAGTGAGTAACTTTTTCCTGTTGCTTAATCTAAATCTTTCTTGTTGTGGAGGCTCCAGCTGGAAAATATGGTCCAAAATTTCCATGAAATGAGCCATGAAACAATACAAATCTAGGCTTCTTGTACAGGCCAGCAGCTCACCTGGGTGATTGTGGCCAGCGCTCTTCAGAGCACTCCCACAATGTCAAAAAAGCAAGAGGTGAATGTGCAGGGGCACCTGGGAGGGCGGGCACTCAGTGCCCTGGAGCCGTGTCACAGGGCCACAGAGATTGTCCGTGTCAGACTTGCCGCCTCTCCATGGCCCTCGGTTGGCACTGGCCCCTCCACGCCAGCTGAGTGCTCAAACATCAAGAGCATCCACTGACAGCGTCAAGCTGCCAGCTCTGCCAAAAGCAGCAGCCTCTGGATCCTCTTCCAGAGGCAGAGCACGTGCTGTGGGAGCAGCCTCGGACAGTGTCAAGCTGCCCCCTCTGCCAGCAACACCAGCAGCAGCAATCGCCTCTGGGTCTTCTCCCAGAGGCCCAGCACGTGCTGAGGGCCCCATGGCCAAGGGCCAGCCAGAGGGTGTGCCACTTCCTCCATGGGGCACTCTGGCTGGGGACAGAGCCCAGGGAACACCTTCCCTGGGGAACAGAACTGGAGGGCTCTGGACTGGGTCAGTAGCAATGCAGGCGCACCCCCAGCCACCCGTGGTACTTGCATGTGGCGTGCAGCTCTGCACTGGGATGTGGCTAGCATGGAAGCCCTTGTGGACCTCTACCTCTGAAAACCCACAGCCTGGGACACTTCTGTAAAAGAGATGGAGAAAAAGCTGCAGGAAAAACATAATAACTATAACTGTAGTTCAATTCTACACCATGCACTACATATCTTCCTCAGCTGTGGTTGCATGCTGCTGCAAGAGCAATTAAAAGGGAAGGCTATGAGGGCACCTTGACCACTGATAAACAAAAGGTAATTTGGGATTATGACACTCACTTTGAAAGGGTTTCCAATCTTGGTGA